TAAGAAGGCCAAACCAATAAAAGTGGGTCCTTGTGTAGGAGTGCTCTTAAATCAATTAGGAGGCTTGACATTACAGGGTCAAAAGTTAAAGGCTCCTAATCTACTGCTGGGAAAAATGTACATGGAGTCTACTGTAGATGCAAGTGTTCTTATTTTTACAAGGGGGAACAACGCTACACCATATCTGAAAATATTACAAAGGCGATCAACATTAGGCATAAAAGACAATTTTCCAATATATATGCAGCGTGCTTGACGTGTTGACTTCATAAGACAGTCATTGCTCTCAAACAAGGTTGATGTGTTCAGGAATTTTTCTTACCATCTTTGCTGTCACTTTACTACGTATGGCTTTGACTGTAGCCTGCAGAAAGGGGAAATAAATGAAAACGTAGCTGCTTGGAATGGCCTTCACAAAAGGCGACATAATTTCTATGTTGAAGATTATAGAATCGAGAGATGGGTTTTCTCTGTATGATGACATTGTCCAGGTTAACTCTGCACGGCATATCCATGTTTCCATGGAAATAATCGAGCATCTCAGACAATTATTGAAGGTTTCTTTGCTCCTAGAAGACAAACTGCCACTGTGAAAGCTGAGATGAATGCAGAGTTAGCTATTCATCATTCTAAGCACAGAGGCAGTGTTGCGTCTTGTTTCAAACTTATGTACTGATTGGATGGTTGAGTATTGACAGGACACGCTAGAACAATTTCTTTTCGCAAGTAAAAATATGCTAAGCTTGTAAAACAACGCAGGATAATAAAAGCATGCGTAGAAATGGAAAAATATGCCAAGGGATACGACCCGACATGCATCGGTGAATTCAAACAATACTACTTATTAATTCCCCACTTAACTGGTCGTGTTCATGCACGGTGGTATTGTTTGATAAAAAATAAACAAATAGGAGTGAGTTTCGGCTCGGTAATTTAAAACCCGCGCTTTCTTTAATAGAAACCCTTAGGCCAATTTCGTGGGATGGACTGTGTACAAACACAAGGATAACAAAAGAAAAATGATGAAATTGAAATTTCATTAAATACATTTCGACGGAACGTTGATTATCAGTACCCATGCAACAATTGAATTACAAGCTAAGATGTACGAAACGTTGAAAAGAGAGCATACATGAATATTGCTGTCATTGTTCAATGATTTTGTCATTTAGCAGTTCAAGCATGGTCATCAAAAGAACGGACTTTTAAGACCAATACAAAACAGGGATGTTAGCGCTAGTGCAACTATTGCTGGATAGTTTTTGCATGTCATTTATATGAAATGTCACAACTGTACCTCCAAGTCTGAAAATTTCCTGTTTCGTGTGTCACAAATGATTTAACAATGTTGACCATGACAGAAAAATCAGCTGAACAGTATGTTAAACAAGTAGTTAACTTAAAGAAATCTTTCATTGCCGTATCAATTTTAATTCATTAACTCTGTTTAATTTTTAATTTAGTTTGTAAATGTAAATTCTATTAAGCACCTAATGTTTAAGGTGTTCACTTTTGCTGTTCTATATTGATGTAACAGTTACCGATAATTTTCAGTATTTGGCAAAGGTAAACTTTAAGTTATTAAGTTAAGTTATTAATTATTTTCATGTGTAGAAATGAATGTAACGTTAGAAATAATTGCCAAAAAAGGGTACTTAGGCCTATACAGGTTCAATCGAATTGTCGCCTCATATTAGGCATGCGCCCCCTACTGAATAGAATGAAAATTACCTACCAAACTCGCATTCCTTTTTTTCCACGGGCAACCAGCCCCGTCTGACACGGTCAATCCAGCGAGGCAATTCGCATCCCTTTCTCAGCCCACTCGCATCCCCTTTTTTCATGGCAACCAGCCCAGTCTGACACGGTCAATTCAGCGAGGCAATTCGCATCCCTTTCTCAGCCCACTCGCATCCTC